ATCTTGTACAGAAAACAATCTGTATTATTCAAGGAATTATTACATATTCATAGTTTTTTAAATATTGTTTGTATATACTATAGGAGGCTTAATTTAAATTTTATTTGTCATGTTGCCTGCACCCTCATAAGAAAATTGTAGTTGGATTCATAACAGCTTCTTTTATTAAGTAAAGACAATTTCTTAATACCAAAATACCAAATATCCAAATAAGCAGGATTTTATTGGAGAAGTATTAGGTTGCCATGGGCACAGCTGGCTTTGAGCATTTATCATTTGGCTTTGACATCAATTTCAGGTCTTCTCATGGGCCCTGTGGTCATCCTTTAGTCTCCCTCTTACCCAACACGTCACTAGATCCCTCTTAAATATTTTCTATACACCCACTTTCCTCCATTCTCACTGCCAGTTCTCTAGTTTAGCCTACCGCGGTCTCTCTCCCTGACCCATATTATTTACCCTCACTCTCTTCTGTTACCGTTTCCATAACACAGAGTCTCAGCTCAGGCTTTCGTAACAGAATGCCATACATTCTGGTAGTTTAAACATCAGAAATATATTTATGATGTGCCAGCATGGTTGGGTTCTGTTAAAGAGTAGAGTTTCAACGGATGAATTTTAGGGAGATACGCACATGCAGACCATAACATGCCACATCAGTGATCTCTGAAAAACGCCAGTTGGCTAAAGTCAAACCCCTGCTTAAGGCCTTTGCTGTGGCATACAAGACTCTGCATTACTTGGGCCAACTTACCTCTCTGGGTTCACCCAAGCTGCTCACTTTTGCTGAGCATAGTCTGGCCATACTGATCTTTATTAACTTCAACTTCCCAACCCTGTCACCTTTGCATTGTTTTCTACTATAATACTTCCCACTCTTATCTAGTTGGTTCCCAATGACTTAACAAATATCAGCAAAACTTCACTTTTCAGGGAAATTTACCTGCCAGACCAGGCTATGATCCCAAGTTGTGTTTGTTTTTTTGGTGTTTTTTTTTATTGTTTTTTTTTTTTGGGGGGGGGGGGGTGGGAGAGAAATATCAATCAGCTGCCTCCTGCAAGCCCCCAAACAGGGGTCAAGCCTGCAACCCAGGCATGTGCCCTGAATGGTAATCAAACCAAAAACTCTTCGGTGCACTGGACGCCACCCAACCACCTAAGCCACCCTGGCTAGGGCAATGACCCTCAGTTTTATACTTTCAAAGACATCTTTGATTTTCCTTTCAAGTTTTAATCACCATTTTTAACTAATATGTGTTTTCATTTGTGAGATTATTACTCATTATTTAAATTTATTGTACACTGCGAGAGTACACTGCACTGTACTAGATTATGAGCTCCATATCCCAATAGCTCACCCCTAGAGCCCCCTGCTGGATTCATATTTCTTAAATAAATTGAATATTGGGTATATCAATCCCACCATGCCCTTCTCCTGGTCCTTTGGGATCATCCAACTATGTAATTTGGAGCATTGTAAAAGAGCAGGGGTGGAGACCTTACAAAGTATCAAATCCCCACCCCCACTTTGTATAGTAAGCAGAGAAATAAGACTAGAAGGCAAATTGAGAAAAGTCATATAATGAGCTTATACAAAATTAGCACTAAAAATCAGGTTTTTGGTTTCTCAGGTCTCTGATATTTCAGAAAATCAAATATTTTCCGTTCCCATTTTCTTATCTCCAATTTTTAGATTGACGTCTTTTCTCTGTTTATAATTTAATATTGGTAGAGAAACATATTCTTATCTTATCAAGTAAAATATGGTTTGTTATTAAGGGTTGTCATTCAGGTTATATCTACCCAAGAAACATGAATTAGAAAACTTAATACACCTTGACTTCAAACATTGGTCATCAGATATTTTAACTTTGCATTTTAAACTTGTTGAGCATTTTGGTCCCACCATTAAAAACCAAAAATGATTTTTAGCCTGTATTAGTTAATACAGAAGCATTAATCATAATTATGCTAATATTAATGAATGTACCTCAAGAAAGAATTTACCAGAGCAAATTTCATCAAGCTAGTTTAATTCCTTAATCAATTTTATAAACAGTACACTTGAAACCATTTCTGAACTTTTTAGTTTTCCTTAAAATTATTGTGTGTGAAATAATTTCTTTATGTATAACACAGGTTTGATCCATCATAAACTTTTCTATCTCCAATTTTACTGATAATTTCAATCATTGAAATTTTTTCTGTTGTGTCCAATTTCTGTCAAATCCAATTTTCCTGTACCAAATTATGCAGATATAATTTTTTTCTTTCAGTATTTAGTTCATAGCTATTTAGTGTTAAGCACTTTAAGTGTTTACTATTTTTTATAAAATTGAATTTCTCTCAGCCGATTTTTTGAGTTTTAAAGAGGTATGATCAAGTTTTGTTGTTATCTTTATAGTTAGTTTCATCTACAATAGATTTTGCTCTCTACCATTTATTCTCTTAGAAGGTTTATTTTCTGATGATTATTTCTATCAGTTAAATGCAGTTTACAGTGGGCAAAAATCTGTTTTCTTTTACTTTTTTCTTCCTTAATGATTTTCTTTGATATTCTAGGATCGCTCTGTTTTCCTGGTAGAGAATGGAAGTAGCTAAAGACAATCATGTTTTGGTTAGATTGTTACTTTATGACATTTTAGATTGGGAGAGAAAACAATTTAGCTCAAACACTTCTCATCCCAACCCTCATTTTATAGGAAACAAGGAAAATCAAGGGCCAGAGAGGTTATCTAACTTGCCCAGCATCAGAGAGAAAAATAGATGTTAAGTCTCCTGACATACAGGACACTTACAGGGGAAAGCATGACCAAAATGAGCTTCAAACTTGAGTGCACTTTCCAGAGAGAAGAAGCTGGCTCTTTTGTCACTATGACAATGAAGTGCATTTGAGATTTTTTTGAAGAGTTTACCCCTACCGTGCTACTAGGGGAAACAGAGCCATGGAGCTGATTCAAAACACTTTGGATAGATCCTGTTACAAGCTTTATAAGTTTCTGATGGATTATGAGGAATTAAGTTATTGGGCAGAGAACTAGCTAATGGAAACACATTGATGAAATCATTTTTGAGGGACATTAAATGGAACTTAAAATAAAGCTGAAGTGGCTTTATGGATTTTTCACTCAAATTGTTTATGAACATTTATTGCTAGTAAATTATATTGTGTCAAAGAAGGAATAAGTAGGTATGGCTTTAATAGAAACCTTTTTGAAATAATAAAATGGAGAATAATTTATTATCCAAGAATGGGTAGAGAAGGTGGGATGAGGGAACTGATGCTGATGGATGTTTCTGGGAAAATGAAAAGCGATGTGAAAATCAGAAACCTGTGATAGTACTTGAAAATTGTCTTTTTGAAAAGTATTAGAAACTCATCTCAGTATGCATAGAAACTTTTTTAGAAGAGGGATGACAGAAAGTAGAAAGTATTACTTGAGGATATAACATTGGTATTTGTATTTCATAAAAAGATGAGCAAGTAGAAAGGACTTAATCTGCTGAAAAAAATAGTGTGTCATAACAGTCAAGGTCATCCATTCCAGAGCTGAAATAGCTCCATTCAAGTCTTGGCGCTCTCTCTTTGCTGTGTGACCTTAGGAAAATTTCCTGACTTTTCTGAGTCTCAGATTCCACATCATATATATATATATATATATATATATATATATATATATATATATATATATGTGTGTGTGTGTGTGTGTGTGTGTGTGTGTGTGCGCGTGCGCGCGCGCGCGCGCCTAAGCGACCAAATGAACGACCTCTAATCCACAATAATAATAGATATTTGTAGTCCCTATCTCACACAAAATATTTGCTTAGAATAATAGTTATTATTCACTGGGATATTCTTTGAATTGACTATATGTAATGGTAAGTCCAGTTATTATTTTTTTATTTTACTTGCAATAGTCTTTTACTCATATCAGAAAGATGAAATATTTCCATGGTTGCTATAAAAGTAAAGAAATCAGTTCATCCTCCTAGGCTCATCAGTATGCCAGGATAAATCTGGATTTGGAATGACAGCAGTTAATGGAGGATTTTTAGATGCTATAATAATTGCAGGAGGTTCTAGAAATTTACGTGTGAATGAAAGATATTATTCTGTCCCTTCTTATAGCATCAGAGAACTACCAAATATGTAAAAAATAAACACATTTGCCTCAAAGTACAGGATATTGCCTAGCGAAGTTTAATTGAAAAACTAATATCCACTGTCATTGTCTGTGATAAACTGAGACTTAAATGATTTGAAAACACTTTGGGAGCAGACAAATCAGATAATCACAATCTTTATGGCTAGAAAGGTTCAGCTGGCGTTGACAAGTTGTGAAGATAAAGGCTTATAGCAAAGTCAACAGCTAAATGTCTAGACTGGGTTGGGGATCAATGATAATACTCAGAGTGTAAAAGTGCTGAACTTCAAATGATCCCTCATAGTGTTGTGTTTAACTTTCCCAGATAATAATAGTGTAGAACTTTATTTACTGGAAAAACTTCTGCCAAATTGTCATTAAGCAGATATCTCGCAGTCTTACGGTGCCTTCCACCATCTAGCTTTCCTGCCACTGCCTACGCGTTGTATTCTATGGTCTGTGCCCTGGCTGCACTCTGAGGGCTTCAGCTGCTGTTTTTCCAAACATTTCCATTTGGGTGACTATGAATAGTTTATGAGGGACCAGCGTCAGACTGTGCCAGTTCTAGGCATCTTTTTTAATTCTTTCTTTTTAAGCCAGCATGGAATTTGCCTCATGGCCTCACTCTGATCTCAGCAGGAACACTTTCAGAAGAGGTTCCTTGTTTTTTCAAAGGCTGTTTGCATGAGTTGATTTAATGCTCTCCTATTATGGAGGCCGAAAGCCAGTGGCAAAAAAAAAAAGTATGTGTGTTATTGAGTTGTGTCTAGGACTCACTGCATTTAGCTGATTGTGCCCCCAGGTAACACATCTAGCAGTTTCCAACTTCTGTTTGCTTTCTTCTCTTGTTTACAGGAGCAGAGGGCACCGTGTTCCCCAAATCAATAGAGACACCTAACGTCAGGGCAGACCCCTTTAAGGAACTAAGGTAAGCTTCTGACTTTGCATTCATCGATTTAGCATCTGTTTCCTTTCTCTGTGCTGCGGCTGATGATCCATTTTGAATCCGTGTAATGTAACAGCATCACAGCATGAATATGTAAACCGGAGCAGTTAGAAATGAGAAGGTAAGCTGCAACCAGGAGAAAATGTTCTCTGAAGACCTGACATTGATGGTTTGGAGGAAGAGCTTGTCCACCATATCATTGTGAGGTTTAGGATTGATTGTTGCAGTGTGTGTTGCTTGCTGTATTCTGTGGTACCAAAAACCTACCCAGTTAGAGAACTCATGAGTAATTGGTGCTGGTCAGCCCAAAGAGTGGGGTCTCTGAGAAGCTGAGCTCTGAAAGCAATGCAGATTTTTATTTTCCCTGAAATGATGTGGTAGAACTACCTCTGTGGGTAATCCATGTACTGGTTGGCATTCCTCTTCAGGTGTCTATACGGGGGCTGCCTTTAGCAGAAAAGGAATCTACAACGTTGTGTACTTACCACCACCGATGGAAAACCAAAAAGAACAATAGACATACAGGCAGACAGATAGCTAGATAGACAAACAGAGATAGAGAGTTGGCTTAAAAACCATTCCTGCCACCTTTCCAAAAACATAAAACATGGTATGATGACACAAATATAAATTTAATTGTTACTGTATGCTTGTAGCCATGAAAGGTTCGGTAAATGCTGGCTGTCTTCACTTCCTGTAGTTCTTTTAACTAAAAGCGGTCATAGATCATCGTAGCTAGCTAGCATGGAATAACTACTTCGGAAGACATCTGCCGTGAGATACTGTATTTGTATTATACAATCTGCTGTTTCACAGTGCAGTCAGTCAGTCCCAAGACCTGTGCTTTTCTGAAAACAGCCAAGACCAGGTTGGAGCTTGTTTCCTTAAATAGAAACATGTTCCCAGTTAGTAGAGACTGTCTCGCCTCATTACAAAACCCACAACCTTCTTGCAAAGCCTGTCTTGTCTTGATGAATATAGGGAAATAAATTGGGCCAAAGGAAGAGGATAATGGGTGGGGAATGAGAACCTTCCCTTAGCAAAACCCCACCTGGAGTGGGCTGTATTTTTAAAATTATACACCATACTGCGAGGTTTTATATTTTACTAGAATAAGTGTTGTCATTGGGGCTTCTGGATGTCTGAAGTCACTGAGTATCTGTTAGCTGGAGCCTATGTTTCCTATTAGACACTAAAACTGGAATCTTCTAAGCCAGTGTTTCCCAAACTTTTGACATATGTGTACCCCTTCTATAATTTTCATAACGCTGAGTACCCCTCATACTCATGAGAACATAGAATTAGGCGCAGCTAAGCACAGTGCAGTGCATATCCCCACCAAACTCCTGTGCAACGCGTACCCCCACCAAAGTCTTCCTGTACCCCTGGGGGTACACATGCCACACTTTGGAAAAACACTGTAAGCAAATCTACCCAAGGAGGCCTGTGTTTTAGGAGAGAACATATACTATCTGTGTAGTGAATCCTCAGGTCTGTGATGTAAAAGCCCTTTCCAGACCAGCTAAGAGATGGCCCAGGTCACTTTGTTTTCACATCTTCCTTAGCAGCAGGGTTGTTGTTGTTGTTGTTGTTGTTGTTATTGTTGTTATTATTATTATTATTATTATTATTATTATTTTGCAGAGCTAGTCAGTAATTAGTGCTGATCTGTCCAAAGATAACTGTTGTCTAAAAGAAGCTGCACTCTCTGTGTAATACAGACTTGTTTCAATGGAACAAGCTCTCCATTACATGGAAGACTTGAGAAATATAAGAGTTACTGGGTTTAGGCTCACTTTGCTTTAAACAGAAAAATTTCTGTAGTTATAAACAAACCCAACCCACACTAAACATAAAGACAACTCTCCAAGCATTAGCCCATTTTAGGACATAGAACATAGTATTTGCTCATAAACTGCTATCAACACACTTCCTTGATATACAACCTATGAGAACCCCTGGAACTCACCTTAAGTCACATGTGTCAAACACAAGGCCCGCGGGCCAAATCCGTCCCGCCAGGCCTTGCAATGTGGCCTGCACCGCGCTGTCATCACTGCACTCCGCTGCGTTTCCATCACAATGACAGTTTATGACTGTTCAGTAAACCATTCGGCCCGCGATTTAGGCTGGATTTTAGATTTTGGCCCCTTCTCTGATTGAGTTCGACACCCCTACCTTAAGTTAAACCTCTACAGTTACAATGAAACTTCTAATTTAATGCAACTAAATAAGGACTTCAGGTAGTTGCCTATTCTAAAATTACCGTATTTTTCGGACCATAAGACGCTCCGGACCATAAGACGCACCAGTTTTTAGAGAAGGGAAATGAAGAAAAAAAGATTCTGAAACAAATAGTGTCCTAAAATATTTTATGTGCATTAAAACCCAACATCACAGTCATAAACACATGTAATCAACCCTGTAAAGTAAACAGCAGCATTTAGAACCATTTTAGAGCCGGGCAAGCACACAGAGACCACACAGAGCCGGGCAAGTAAAAAAACCTTTTTTTTTTTTTTAAGTATATGTGTAGGCTTTCCCCCCACTTCTGGGGGGAAAAAAGTGCGTCTTATGGTCCGAAAAATATGGTATAGGTATTTTCCACAGGGGCTAGAAATAAAATTTTCTGATAGGAAGCATAAAATGATTTTAATATGCAATTTTTAAAAGTGGTGTTTTATTTGCACCTGTTCAAAACATGGAGATGTTTGATAACCTGAACTGAGTGAGGACCCTAGAATGTGATCATTTAGCCCCTTCATCCTTTGGAATTTTTTTTTTCTTGATGGTATGTTGTGGGAGAATCTCTGGTCAATTGAAAGGATGATGAAATGTGGTGGATTGATTAGTCTAGATCAGTTTCACATTTATCATCTAATGGTGCCATATTGTACTCTGTGCTACTGATTGGAATTGACCTTGGCTATTGAGTTGGCAGGTAATGAACTTGGTGACTGAGCCTCCTGGCCTCTGGCTTTACAGTTGGATTTATAATTCAGCATATGCATGCTGGTGTGTCTTCTGGGCTTAGGAAAGTAGAGTCATCTAAGGGAGGTTCCTGGACTTGTACCAGCAAGTGACAATGAGTAAACTGTTCAGGTGAAGCAGAAGCAGTGACTCCATGACTCCTAGAGGCAGCATGATGGAGGGGAAAAAGTACTGAGCTGCGAGTCAGGGACTATTGCAAGCCTACCATGTGGCCTTGAGCTAATCCTAGAGCCCTGCTCTCTGTAAAAAACCAGGTCACTTCTAACTCCAAAGAGCTAATTCCTTTATAATATAGATAGATAGATAGATAGATAGATGATAGATAGATAGATAGATAGATAGATAGATAGATAGATTTTATTGGCTTCCTTCTGCATGCCCCTTTCTGAAAATTAAGCCAAAAACTTGGGCATGTGCCCTAACCAAGAATGGAACCAGTGACTGCTCAGTGTATGGGACAGTGCTCAACCAACTGAGTCACACCAGTCAGGGCTATAGTGTTTTACTTTTCATTTTAAAATAAATTTAGATTTAAAGAAGAATTGCAAAATTCATACAGATTATTTCCATGTTCCTTTTAATTGTTATTCTCTAATGTTAATATCTTACAGATCTATGGTATATTGATTAAAACTGAGAAATTAATATTGTAGTCCTTTAAGATCTTATTTTACATAAGATTTGTTTAAAAGGATGCAAGTACCTGAGTGTCTTATAAATTAAAAAAAAAAAAAATACACAGAAAGGAGATTGCCCTGGCTGGGTAGTTAGCTTAATTGGTTGGGGCATTGTTCCATATACCAAAAGCTCACAGGTTTAGCTCCCAGTGAGGGAACATAACTAGGTCAGGGTGCATAAAGAGGATGCAACTAATCTATGTTTCTCTGTTTTCCTTCCCCTTTCTAAAAAGTAATAAAAATATATCCTCAGGTGAGGTTTTTTTTTTTAAAAAAAGGATGTAACAAAAAGGTCATTTGTTGAGATGTGAATTATTGGATCTTTAAAGTCCCCAATGCAGTTAAGTTGGAATGATTTTAATAAGAGTTTTTAAAAATAATATCTATACTCAGATGTTCTTGGTCTTACTTATTAATGAGAAACAAATTGAATTAAAAGACCACAGCTTATTTATACATAGACTGTCTTCTAAAATAAGCAAGCAAAACTTGAACATCTAACATGTCCCTCACTTAATCCAATCAATCAAATGTGAGAAAACAGTATCTGTTAGGATAATTTTTGTTTCCTCAAACCTCTACCTTGGCTGCTGGGAGGGTTTTGTTTGTTCTCTCATTTTTGTTGTTGTCCTTGTTTGCTTGATTGTTAATGAAAGGCAGATTTTAGGCCTCTAGCATTTCTTCCTAAAAGATCTCCACTCTCAGGGAATAGGCTGGTAGCTTCCTTTCTACTAGAATTTTGGTTTACTGCTTTTCTTTCCAGAGTTACTATAGTTACCCTACTGGCAGAGCTGGCTTAAGGTGTTTGTAAATAATCCAGGGTTGAGCTGCAAATCACAAAAAGATGGTTGTTTCTCTTTAAACAAATAATGAGCATTAGCGAGGTCTGCACCCACCTCCCATCTGGGACAGTGTTTGTGGACCATTCTGCAGGGCAATTCTGAAATAAGGACATGTCACTTCAGATTCAAGACTATACTTAAAAATGTACCAGCAGCCTTAACCAGTTTGCCCAGTGAATAAAAGGGTCCTAGGTTTGATTCTAGTCAAGGGCATGTACCTTGGTTGTGGGCACATCCCCAGTGGGGGGTGTAAAGGAGGCAGCTGATTGATGTTTCTCTCTCATAGTGTTTCTAATTCTCTATCCCTCTCCCTTCCTCTCTGTAAAAAATCAATAAAATATATTTTTTTAAGTGTACCAGCATTATACCTATCCTTGAAATTAAAACAAAACACATTTAACCGAAACCGGTTTGGCTCAGTGGTAGAGCATTGGTCTGCGGGCTGGGAGGTCCCAGGTTCGATTCCAGTCAG